CCTGCAGGCCAGAAGAGGGCACCAGATCTCATTACAGATGGTTGTGAGCCACCATGTGGTTGCTGGGAATTGAACTCAGGACCTCTGGAAGAACAGCCAGTGCTCTTAACCTCTGAGCCATCTCTCCAGCCCCCTCTGGGTGAGCTTCTAAGCATAAAAAATATATCTTGGGTTGTTGATATACTTCAGTTAACAAAAACAGCCAGAATTGGAACTACAGAAGCCAAAAAGCAGGGTTAGTCAAAAGACTTTCCCAGAACTATGGACTTGGATGGACAAGGTCTTTGTTTTCATTTTGGCAGATGGTGTTGTCTGCATGCTGAGTTTTACAGCCTGAGTGATACTTCCATCATGGAGGCAGTTGTGCTAAGGTCTGGGGCCCTGTTCCATTCCCCACTGGTCTTAGTGAAGGAGTCAAATCGTGGAATCATCCTGCTCTAAAGAGGTGTAGTTGGCCCTAAGGACAATTCATTTTATTGAATTGATACATAATGGGTCCTATTGTTTAAGATGCAGGGCCCCACTGTTAATCTAATCAGAATGAGGCTTGAAGGCCCAGCCAATGCTGACATCAGTTAGCCAAGGGGACTGAGAGCGTAGAGGATGCTACCAATGATCTGATGTCTTTGTCTCTTTTTTCTTTTTGAGTTTTTCCCTCCAACCATGGCAAAATTATTTTTTAATTACTCTGATCAATTAGCGTAGAAACAACAGGTTTTCCTCAAAGCCATGTGTGGTCCCCCTTAGCTCATGAGAAGTCTAAGCCTCTCTGATTTTCTAGGACTGTTTCTGCAAGGGAATCTAACTGTTGCTTTAATTCAGAAATGGGAGCTTTTTAATACCTATCGGTTCTGATCAACTTGTCTACTTAGTGTTTAACAAGTTTTCTCTCCCACGATAAAGGCTGATGTGTCTATGGCTGTTGAGTCATGGATGCTGTTCTAAGCAGGACAGACGTAGCTCTCTCTCTCTCTCTAGTCCAGGGTCCATATTAAAATGTGCTTTTCCCTCCTTTCCCACTATATAGGTTTATCTGGGGTAGAATGTGTACTAAGGGAATGTTGGGTCCCCTGGACCTGGAGTTACATTTGATTATGAGCCTCCACATGGATGCTGGGAATTGAACCCAGGTCCTCTGCAAGAGCAGCAAGTGCTCTTACCTGCTGAACCATCTCTCCAGCCCTAAGGCACGTAGTCTTGAGAGCATCATACTGTGATAAAAGCTGTGCTAGCAGGATATAAAAATGCTTAAGTTGGGTTTATTTTCTCAAGAGATGTTGAAGGCCAGTGAGGTCGCTCAGTGGTAAAGGTACCCGCGGTTAAGTTCTCTCTCTCAGACCCACACAGTGGAAGGAGATAACCGACCTCCAAAAGTTGCCCTCTGACCTCCACAGGCACCATGCCCTTATGCGCGCGCGCACACACACACACAGAAAGAGAGAAAGTAATTAAAATGATAAAAGCGCTTGCTACCGTAGTGAAGTAAGACATATATGAGAACATTTATGTCTAAAGGAGAATATTGAATTAATTTATGTAGTGTAAGGTTAGAACATGACAGCTATGTACCATTGTATTAGTTACTATTTTTTATTAAATTATCATGTATTAAGTCGTGGGTTAATTAATTGAATTGTAGCCTCTCTCAAGTCCTTCTCGTCAGTTCTCTTTCTCAGAGATACTTCTTTTGAAAAAAAAAATTAGCGTGTGTGTGTGTGTGTGTGTGTGTGTGTGTGTGTGTGTGTGTGTGAAGGTCAGAGACCTACTTTGTGGAGTTGATTCTTTTCTGCCTTTTTGTGGGCTCCAGGGACTCAGGTCAGGGTTGCACAGCGAGAGCTAGCCCGGGCACTGGTTCTTGTGTATTTTCTTTCTTTATGTGTGGGTCTCCTTCTTCCTCGGGGACTCCGGTCTGAGAGGGAGGAGGGAACAGAACAGAAGCGACTGAGCAGGGTTCAGACGGCTTGCGGGCGACGGTTTCAGTGAGGCAGTCCAGCTTTGTTCCAGAGTGAGTGGAAATATAGAGGATGGATACAGCGGCTGGGGCGTCACCTCATTTGCGGTTCGCGGCATGGGCCCACCACACAGCTGGAGCACAATACCTAACTATGGTATGGGCAGCCGGGGGAGAGCATCCGCAGATCTGTGTCTGAGGTCATGCTTGAGAAAGGTCAGGCAACCAGGTTTAGGGACAGCCTCCAGATAAGGCCAGGCCCCGGGGCCTAGAGACACTATCCAGATAGAGAGTCCCCCATTTGGCACCAAGCTCAGAGGGCTGTCCCGATTGGTGGTCTGCAGCTGTACGTCCGGGTCCTCCAAGTCTTGCGTCGTCTATCTAGTTCTAACCACGTGTGTGTCTGTTCCTGCGTCCAGGGCAGCTCACTACATCCATAGCCGTAAAGCCTCCACTTAACGCACGCCTGGCTTGAACCATGAGTTATTTCATTTGTGCTTTATTGATTCCTGTTCAGGCGGCTTATCTTTCATCTATCTATCTATCTATCTATCTATCTATCTATCTATCTATCTATCTATCTATCTATCTATCTATTTGGGTTTTTCGAGACAGGGTTTCTCTGTATAGCTTTGGAGCCTGTCCTGGAAATCACTCTGTAGACCAGGGTCTGGCCTCAAACCCACAGGCTGCCTCTGCCTCTTAAAGGCGTGCACTACCATTGCCTGGCCTATTTATTTATTTATTTATTTATTTATTTATTTATTTATTTATTTATTTATTTATTTATTTATTTATTTTTGAGGCAGGGTTTCACCATATTCTACAGCTGACCTTGACCTCATGGTCTTCCTGTCTCTCCTCAGTGCTGATATTACAGGCTTGTGCCTGGGTGTTTATTGTCTTTTTTAAATTTTTGTAATCACAAGTAGCATTGTAATGAACAGTTTCATGTAATGTCTCTTGTGTGTGAAGTACACCTGTGGGGTAAATAACTATCTCTGGACTTTTTGTGTCATGAGAATGTGTGAGCATTTAGAATTTGGTTACTCTATCCTAAAAAAAACCAAGATTTATGTCGGTACCTACAGAGGCCAGAAGAGGGCGTCAGACACCCCCACCCCCCCACCCCCGGAGCTAGAGTTACCGGTCGCTGCGAGCCACCCCATGTGGGTACTAGGAACTGAACTTGGTAGAGCAGTAAGCATCCTTAACCACTGAGCTGCCTGTCCCTCACCAGCCTCGAACTCCCAGGGATCTGCCCACCTCCGCCTTCTAAGGACCAGGATTAGAGGTGCATGCGGCCACCCCTGCCTGGTTACTGTGTCCTTTAAACAAACAGTAAACGCGGCTGGCTGGTTGTCACAGATCTTAGGGCCACGGGGTTGAAAAGCACCGGGAAGGCGTGTTTGTTCACTGACAGCGGAGTTTTTTTCTGCTCTAGCCTTGGCTTTGTTGTATCAGAAGCGTCGTGTTGACGGAACAGTTTCGCAATCGCCTCCCCTCACCCCTATAAGGAAGCAGTGCCCAAGATGTGAAGCAACAATAATAAAGCCAGAGCACACACACACACACATTTCTTGTGGCACTTTCCACAGAGAGAGGATAATGGGGCCTTTCTCATCCATGTCGC